TTTAACATTGTGTAATTATTGTTATGAGGTAGCATAATGGGATTCATTCGTAAAAACCAATTAATTTCCTCATATAAAACTTACAAAAAGTATTAATTAATTAATTAATGAGTCCCATAGAAATATATTTTCTTTACATAACTTGATTTTACTTCGTTAGACAACTATTAGGAGCAGGAGATTTGACTTCCGTAAAAATCAATTAATTTTCTTGTATAAAACTTAGAAGTATTAATTAATTAATATAAGGAAATAATAATAAAGCTTTTATAATTTAAAGATACAATGTATGTGCAAATTAGGACGCGTACAAGTTAAAATAGGAAAATATTTAGTAGTCAGTATTTTAGTTAATTTCAAACACTTAAATATTAGAAAAAAGAACTAAATTACTATTTTGCCTAGTGCGAAATCTATTTTGAAAGGGTAAAAAAGACGAACGATATTTCGTTAAGGGCCTTCGTGCTTTTAGTATAGTATAGATTACACCGGGATAATTTTATACTGCCAACTAAATATAGTATAAATTTAATCTCAGACTTAATCCTGAATATCTCACCATATCCCACTTATCCATATTTACCCGTAAAATGGTACAGTTGAATTTATACATGATTTCTAGACAAGTAAACTAATTTGATCCTTGTTTACCCGTAAAACGGTACAGTTGAATTTATACGTGGTTTCTAAACAAGTGAACTAATTTGATCATGAAATAATACAATCATAGAAGAAATACACAATACTTAGCCTTAGAATGTAGATAAAATAGCAAAGATGGTGATTCCGTGAACACGATTTCCGAACATAGCAATGATGAGATCAAAAAGCAAGAAAGTGAAATTATGTAAACCTTTGTATATAATATAGTATATGTTCTTGCCAGAAATTTTCTCCCCTTACAATAACATAATTCACTATTTATAGCTACGTCTAGGAAAAACGGTCCTAGGATCATACCCTCCTTTAATGCCAAGTATAAGGGTCATTGATGAAGATGTAACGGTGAACGTAAATGCCAAATTCTCTGTAACGGACCGTAGCTCTTAATGCTGTAGAATATTCCTTAGTAAATGCTACCGGACGCAGAGCATTTAATACACTTTTACGAACGTTATCCTTTCCGGTGACAAACGGAGTGGCTGTGTTCGGTCCTCAACCATGCAGCCACGTGTCATATCATATTTTACCCTATACAATCCCGCGTACCAAACGATCCCTTAGTGTATTTACGTTCTTTTTTGCTTACCATTTCCATGGGTTGGCTCAGAAATGAGAATTAGACAAGCAATTAATCGCACAAAATCCAGTCAGTTAAGATAGGAAATTGAGATTTTAAATATGATAGAACAAAATTTTGTGGCACTTCATCTCATGTGATTCTTCATTCCAATTTATGATGAAGTTTCCCATTTAAATGGACGTGAAAGCTAAATTTACAAGTGAACACTGATAGAAATATCATTTTCTCGTTTTGTAGACATAATATTTTTTTTATAATGTACTAATTAATTTTTTTCCATAGGGTCTTTTCACTACAGTCAAAGCCGTGAGTCCTCACTCCTCCCAAACAACTAGTGTATAAAAATGTAATGTTTCCAGAAAATTATATACACAGTCATAACTTGCTAAAAAGGTGGATATTTAGAAAATGAAACAACTATAATTATTGTAAATTGAAAATAGTAATTAAGACAAAGTTTATCGGTAATTCCATAAACAAATATGGATAGCACGGCATTCCTTGTACTTCCCAAAAACCTTGATACTCCATAAAAAAAATTTAGCAACTCGTTTTTTCACCTACTTCAACTTAATCTTCTCAAGCATATATAAGTTTTAAAAAAAGTTCTGTAAAGTGAAAATGTTTGATTTTCTTCATTAACAAATATAGAGAAGAAAAATTTGCAACTGCTATGATTTCTGCCAAGAAAATTGTCTTAGAAATGAATATCGAACACGAATTTCGTAAGAAACGTGTGATATGTAGGAAGAAACAATTTGATAAGAATGTTGATAATGAAATCTCAAAATCTCTCGAACAGTCCTTTAGAGTTGATTACTTTTTATACATAGTAGACAACGCTTTTTTTACTTCAGAATGGATTTCGACCAATTCGAAGCACAAGAAAATATTTTTGATTTTCTATTTAGCGGTAAAAAAGTGAGATCACTAGATGATGAAAATTTGAAAAATATTGCCTTATTCTTGAATGTTCCTTAAAGTATAATAATCATTCAGATATGGATGATTTAGATTTATTTTCTAAATTAAAGTGTTAAGGAAAATAGTGCAATTAGAAGATAATAGATTAATTGATATACTCAATTAAATAAAAAAATCGATTCTTTTCCAAATGCCTATGTTGCTTATAGAATAATGTTAATAACTCATGTTTACAACTGTTTCAACGGAAAGAAATTTTTCAAAATTAAAATTAATAAAATCTTATCTAAGATCAACAATGTCTTAAAAAGGTTAAATGGATTAGCTATATTGTCAATTGAGAAAGACTTATTAGAAGAAATTGATTATATGAAAATTATTAATAACTTTGCATATAAAAAAGCTAGAAAAATAGATTTTAAATTAAAAAATAATATATATATATATATATATATATATATATATATATTTGTAAAGTTAAGGCCCCTCATAAAATTTAGTTTTAGGTCACAAAATTCGCCGGGCGCCTCAACAACCAAATACAAGTGATGATATGTTATTTTGTTTGTTATTTTACAGTCAGGAAAGTAATTTTTTTTAACTTACAATTTATGAGAAAAGATATACTCCATTAACATACTTGGGATCTATGGAATACATCACATAATTAAATACAAGGTGAGCTATCTGAATTGCAATACAATATTATTAACATGGTGCATTATTTTGAAATTTATTATGAGATTCTAAAGTACCAATCAATACATGAACATATCGATTTTTCAATAAGATCATTTATAATAGCAAAGAAAATAAAGTGTCGGTGTTATGCTCCAATTTGCACATGAAATTTTCGGAGACAACAAAAATTAAGCTCCATATTTCATTGGCTTAGTCAAGCCAAATAACTCAACAAACCTAAAAATAATTCGTCATCCTCATTTTCTCTAACGCTGGTAAATATATCGAAGTTAAAGCAGGAAAAATAAAAATTAAAAAAAGAGAAACATATATCGCAAAACCCAAAAGCTTAATGAATGAGCTGAACGGGAGGAAAAGCCCAAAATCATACATGATCTTTGGCTTTAGATTCAAAGTCATACATATTCTTTCACATGGAGCACTAATAGTACATTTATTTTAATAAAGTGGTGCACTTTTAGTCATAACACTAAAAAAAACTAAAAACATACATTATCTTTGGCTTTAGACTCAAAGTCATACATATTCTTCCACATGGAGCACTAATAGTCCATTTACTTTAAAAAAGTGGTGCACTTTTAGTCATAACACTAAACACATTTTAATTTTTAACAGAAATCTAAGATCTGATAAAATATCTGTTCCCTTTAGATGGAATTATCGCTATCAAGAATATCAGGTGTAGGACGGATATGGAGTTTGATTCGGGGAGCCCGGGGCAGTGGAGGAGGAACAGATTGAGCACTAGATTCGTCACTCTTGGATTTTTCCTTATTTTTACCAATTTTTTTTTAAGGAAGCCATCTTAATTAATAAGGTAATAGAAAATAAAACAAACAAACAAAATTATAATATTAAAACTTAAGAGTTGGAACGAGTTTGCCGAATTGACGAACAACGTGTTGAAAATTGATTATCGTTGAAGACTTCAATTCACCAACTTCACAATTGTTTCACAAATTGTAACAATAAAGTAAGCAATAGTAGCAATTATAGAAGAAAATTAGAGAGAGATTGATGATTTTGTAAGAAAAAATGAAAGAATGAGGGAGTATTTATAGTTGAAAATAGGGAAAAAGTGTAATTATAAAAAGTTTAGGATTAAAACAAAGTTGGGGGGTTAAATGGCTATTTTATAAATAGCCAACAACTATTTTTAACAGCCCAACGACTATATTTATTATTATTATTATTATTTTTTTAAAAATAGCCGTTGGGACCGTTTGGCCCCGCCCGGTCCCTGGCGGGCCCAAATTATAGGACCGGCCTACGAGACCGACCTAGGCCCACTAAAATCGGGTCAAACGGTCTTGACCCGTTTAGCCCGTTTGGTCCGCGGTCCCGGGCCGGTCCCGAACTTGGACCGGCCCACTTGCCACCCTTATTACCAACACACAAATAAACCAATCAAAATTACACAAGTAAGCCAAATATCAACTTTGTCCCTGAACGGCAAGCACACATGACCAGGGACGGATTTAGGGGCGGAACGGGTTCACTCGAATCCATTCGCCGAAAAATTACATCGTATATATAAGATAAAATCTGTTTTTTACTTATGTATATTATGTTTTGAAATTCCTTGACACAGTTCAAAAATATAGCTTAGTGGTTAAAAAAGTTTAAAACCTTTATAAGATTGTAGGTTCAATTCCCACTGGTTACGCCACCGCTCATGAGGACCTGAAGCTCTTGAACTCACCCTTGTTAATAGTACGAATATGAAAATGAATCTTCAGTGTTTGATTACAAGTTTAGGAAAAAAACAAAAACACCTTATTTTACACTTTTATTTTAATGGAAAAAGGAACAACTAAAGGGCAAAAATTATAAGCTTTCCAATATTTTTCTACGAATGAAAGGATCCTTTCTTGAAATATATCTTCATCCACTCCCTTTCTTAATTTTTTTGCAGGATGCGGTAGCTGCGTAGGAACCTTCTTGGTGTGTTTCCAGGGATGTTGGTGGGACCCATACTGCACGTGCAATCCGACAAGCCATACGTCCTCTGCTATGAACACCGAGGTCGAGTCTCAAACTGCTTCTCACCAAACAATAAATTCGTCTTCACTAATTGCAACACCAACAACAAAATGGATTGCACCACCAACAGCAAAATGGCGGAGGAGGATGCCGCCAATCTTCGCTCTGACTTTCTTCAGCTCCTTCGCACCCGCCGTCCTCCTCAAGGTCCCCTTTTTAGTTTTTCTATTTCCTTAATTAGAATATTCTCAATATTTTTGAATGTTGAAGAAGGGCTTTATGTTTTCTTCCATACTTTGCCTAGTTTGAAGACCCATAGTCACTTAACCATCGGTCTGCTACTAGATTTTCTTGTTTCAACTATACTTTTTGATTGTTGAGATCACCTTTTCTTTTTTCAATTTGGTAGACTTTGTGGATTCTTGTCTTACCGCCCTTAGACTAATCAACGAACTTGTATTCCTTTCTGTAATTCCTTCCAGTTCAACTCTGTGTGGTGCCTGGAAAACCTGTGACTGATCCATTATATCAGGAAAGTCCAAAGCCAACATTCAGTGAGGTCGTACAACTCCTTCACAAGCTTTATATTTTGCTATTATTCTGCACTTTTTTGGTGCCATTTTTACCGGCGATATTTGTCAAATACAGGTAATGGCATCTTGCCCTAAGGAAGATATACCCAATTTGAAGGAACTTCTTCAGGAGGAAAATTTCTACCTGACCACAGAGGTTACATGATTTCTATATTTTCATTACATTCATCAATGTACAGATTACTATATATCATTATAATTTATGGAAGTAAAGATATTTAATGTTCCCCTTTCCCACCTTCCCCAATGTGTAGGAAAAAAGCATACTGACAGAGATAAAAGAATATAATGCCCAGACCCTTTTCCAACATCTCGTGTATTGGATCTAAAGAAAAGAACTATTCTGTGAACTGAAATACCTCTATAAAACAAAAACAACTACGCTTCAATCTAAATCCAGTTGGGGTCAGCTATATGAATCCTCACTATTCATTTCGCTATTTTTGGACTAGAGTGCCTCAAAGTGTTTGTAAAGTAGATAAAAGTGTAAAGGTTCTGCGATAATTTAAAAAAATGGTGCTAGCAGTCCAATGAAGTGGCTATATCATTTATAATTCTTTAATTACAAAAATAACATATTAATTGAGAGATAAATGTAGGAATATTCTCATTTTTCAGAAGTAATAATCTCCATGTCTCATCCAACACCTCTAAATGAAGCGTAGCACGGTCTAGCAATAATAAACCCAACAAAGGTTGAGGTCCAATCCCACAAGGAGTAGGTTTGTGCTAAAGTGTCCAAATACATGTAAACTTGGTGATTCTTAAGTTTATCTTCAAGCAAAAGAGTGGTGATCAATTATGTCTACAATTACTACTAAAATTTAACTAAGGAGTTCTATCGAACAAGTAGAATGCAAATAAAGGTGCAGTGTTATCAAAGGCGAAAAACGCAAAAAAGCTCTAAGGATTGTTCGGGCATTAAGCGAAAAGCGGAGCATGAGCTTTAATGAAGAACGACGCAAATGGAGAAAAACTACAAATATGTATGTGTAGTCCAAGATTAATATCTACAAGCATGAATACCAAATATATGGACAAAGAAATTGAAGAAAATTTACGATAAAGTAAAATATTAATTGTTTAGCGTCACCTCTTCAGTATTATGCTCATTGGCAAGGAAAAGTATATCTTAGAGCCTTGATGACATCACTGAAGTGCCCGCTAAGCGAGCGAAACGCTCAACATGTTTTGAGCCTCGCTTCAGGCCTTAAGCGTGCTTTAAGCGCGCCTTTGATAACACGGTAAAAGTGTAGTAACAAATAAGAGAAAGATACTAGGATTGTTTTCCCTTCGTGTAGGCTATGCTTTTGGGTATATAGATGTTCAATTCTAGTTAATTAAGCATGTGTTATGGCCTCAATTTCTATTCTACTAACTTAATGTCTTCCAACACTTAAAAAAAGGTTTTTACCCCAAGTTGCTCTTCCAAGTCAATTAAGGCTCAATGATAAGAAATTGATTAGCAAGTAGAAATCACACTATTCCTAGCTAGATTTCATTAGTCAGGTGATTAACCCACTTAATTTCTTGGTAATTACTTTGTACCTAAGCTAGGTTCCACTCTTCCAAGTTGGAACAAGCAAACTAGGCATGGATTTAATGTTTGCAACCACAAAATCAATCAATAAAGCATGAAGTAATTAGATAACACAAAGCTTAATCAAACTTAGAATTTGTATTAACAACCCAAAAACATAACCCCACATAGGATTCACAATCCCAGCTTAAAAAGCTTAGCTAGACATAATAAGGAAAGAAAATACAAAAAGAGATGAAATTCTCAATATAATAGCTAAAGAGGAAAGAAAGTTTGTTTATAACAATGATGAAGTCGCCCAAAATCTGAAGGGAAACTCCAAAAGCTGCTCTCCGACGTTTAAAGGGATCAAAGAGGCTCTAAAGAATGACCTAGATTGCTATTTAAAATTGTTTGCAATATCTGGCAAAAGTGCCCCTATGGTGTCCAGTCATGGAGCCGATTGATGACCGTCTCCACTTTGGTTCTAATGCTTCACGTGTCTTCGTGGCCTTGTTATGGAGCCGTTGGTGTTCGTGGACTTGGACAGAGTTCTTTCAATTTCTTCAAGATCGATCATGGCCTGAATCGGTTCATCCACGATTCACATCGTGGAGTTGTTCGTCTAGCCACTCAAGACCGTGGAGCTGGGCAGACTTCGCTCCAAATTTTCCATACTTCAGCCATTTTTTCATGCACTTTTTCATCCCTAGTTTCGGCTCCACTTTCTTCCATCGTTAAGTCTTTAAATCTTCAATCCTTTGCTCCAAATTCCATCTCTTTTCATCCTTTTTTGATCAAATCCTTCATCAACTATTTCATTTAGGCTCAAACACCTGAAATCAACCGAATTAAGTTAGTTAAGGCTATTAAATCTTACTTAAAGAACCTTAAAACTCAAGAAAAAGGTATGAATAAGTTAGCAAAATACCAACTTATCAATCTCCAGCTGTCAGTATTGAGCATGAACTCACTGTTTCCAGGAAGGAGAGCAAGGGCGGTTGCCTGTCTTGGTATTGAGCATGAAGGAAAGTGATAAGAAGAAGAGGCCAGCTGTTGTCTTCCTGCATAGTACAAACAAATGCAAAGAGTGGTTACGGCCATTGCTTGAGGTGATATTCTGTTTTCTTCAAAATACTCTGTATCATCATGGATCAGTAAGGACAATTCTGTGTTTGAATCTCTTTTTACTTTTTGGGTTCAGGCGTATGCTTCAAGGGATTACATAGCTGTAGCAATTGATTCTCGATATCATGGAGAACGTGCCACCAATATGACAACATATCGAGATGTAAGAACATAGCATTTTAATCTTGATTATCTTTTCATTCAAAACAGTATATTCAGTTCCAATAGGCTATGGGCGAGCTGTCTTAAATTTATACCTTGGACTAATTACTCTCCCATTTAGTAGCAAAACCTTTGGCCTTTTATTGTGAAGGATCCAATTTGTTGAGTATTAACCCTATGGCCTATGGAAATACTGAAACTACTTCGCTTTTTCGGAGTATAAACTGGGGGGGAGGATCTGTTCTGTCTATCATGGTGTACTTAATTTCTGTTATTACTGGCTTCATATTGAGGAGGAGAAATCAAGAAGTGAACTTGCCACACTATTTTCTTTACATGGAATGCTTGGATGCTACTATTTGATTGTGTTGATATGCCTGACTGCTTTCTCTCTACAATTCAGGCCCTTATATCATCATGGAAGAAAGGTGATACAATGCCTTTCATATTTGATACGGTAAGGAAACCGAGACTTCTTGTTGAGAAAATGAACGTAATTCCACTGTTTTTGAGTTGAGAGAACTTGATAAAGTACAGTTTTTAATCTTAAACCACCATGCTTATTATCTAATATCTAGCCTCTGAAAAAAAATACTTTTCTGCAAATTTTGAAGGTCTGGGACTTGATAAAACTGGCAGATTATCTGACAGAGAGGGAAGATATTGACTCCTCAAGGATTGGAATTACTGGTGAATCACTTGGAGGTTAGGCGAGTCACTTTACATTCAATATCAACTGTCACTTAAACATGTGGAGTTCATAATATGTTCTGTCTTGCAGGTATGCATGCATGGTTTGCTGCATTCGCTGAAACTCGCTATGCAGTGGTTGTTCCTATAATTGGAGTTCAGGTGACACTTGAAAATTAGTTTAAGTGAAGATAAGGAAAGACTTATGGATATATCAATAGGAGATTTACTGTGAAGATCTTGGAATGAGGTTGCAGGGCTTTCAGTGGGCTATTGAACATGACAGGTGGCAGGCAAGAGTTGACAGTATCAAGGCTGTGTTTGAAGGTGACTGAAACTGAATTAACTTGTAATTTATAAGCTTATTGTAGTTGTGTATGTTCTTATCTGGAAATGTCATCTGTTTGTCCTTTCAGAAGCACGTGCTGATTTAGGCAAGAATGAAATTGATAAAGAAGTGGTTCAGAAGGTCAGGTCTATTTGTCTTCCTGCTTCTTGTACCCTATCTGGTTTCCTTGTTGCATGTCTAGTAAGCGACTTGGTCATTGTGTTTGTGCAGATCCTGATTAGCTTTACTCAAGTTGCTTCATTCTTTTTAAATATAACTGGCCTTAAAGTGGCTGGAGATTTGGGAAAATCATATCTTGTTTCTTATCATCAAAGGAAAGGGCAAGAGTAAAAAAGTCTCTAGATAGGTAGAAGTAAGTTCTTAGGAGCAAGCCTGTGGCTTGGTGCACTAGTTGCAGCTGTGTAAATTGTAAAAAGTAAAAAAAGCAAACGCTCCTATGTTTCGGTTGATCAAGCCTTTTCACCAGAAGCTCTCTAAACATCCATGACCACTTAAGGGATAAAATGAGGAGCAGTAGCAGCAAAACTGAATCTGTTTAAGCAAGTTCTCGTGCAAGGGAGCGGGATCTATTGAGTAACCAGAAGAAAAATGAGATCTCACATTTTTCAGATTTATTCTTAGAGATATATAAATAAGGTGAGGCATAGATTCATCCCTCTTTAGTGGAACTCTCATAGTTTCTACCAGTTTCCGGAGTAACCAAAAGAAAATGGGATCTCACATTGTTCGGATTATTCTCAGAGGTTCAGCTGATGTATAAATAAGGTGAGGCCTAGACTCATCCTTCTTTAGTGGAACTCTCATAGTTTCTACTAATTAAGATGGAAACCCTTACCTCATGCTGTTGAGGACATCTAAATTTCTGAGACCAAAAGTCTTCAGACGTTTTTCTTGGTACTTGTTCATAACCTTATTCATCTGGTTTGCTATTATTTCAATGTCTCTCTTTTTTACTTCATCTTTCCTTCATCTAGTTTGCAATAAGTTTCTTGAGCCAATAGAAGACTATCCACAATGACCCCTTTCTTAGTGGATAAACTCCCCTCGCGTGACATAAATTAAGGGAGATCTCTGATGCAGTTTTATCGGCCAGCATTGTATTTGAGAAGCTGTAAAAATTAATCAGCCTAAAGTTGAGAAAAAGTAAATGTATAGCTTTCCGAAAGACTGGATCAAGCGACTGTTCAAGTTAGACTTGTGGCAAGGCAACTTTTAATTTATGAATTCAATTGTATGTTGAATTCAAGTTTCCGAAATGCAGCTTTAGAACTTTTTAAATTTTGCACGATAATATTCATCAAAAAAAGATTTCTGTTTGATCTTAATTAGAATATGTGACCAGGTCTGGGACAGAATTGCTCCAGGTTTGGCATCTCAGTTCGATTCACCATACACAGTACCAGTCATTGCACCACGCCCCTTGCTGATTTTAAATGGTATGATGATCTATTTGTTCACATGATTTATGATAATTCGTGCCATTGCCATTTATTAAACATCAATCGTCGGAATGTATGTATCATTTTAAATTTGTGCAAATAACTGGAAGATAAATCAACATTTGGGAAATGTAGGAGCGGAAGATCCTCGTTGTCCCATTGCTGGCCTGGATATTCCGAAATCAAGAGCCCATAAAGCTTATGAGAATGCTGGTTGTCCACTTAATTTCAAGGTACAATGTTATCCTCACTGCCTCCCTCCTTTTTTCAGGAAAACAAAGCATGTTTCCTTTCTTCACCATCAGCTAATTTTGATTCCAAGGGTTCAAACGGGGAAAACAAGGGGCATGTTTCCTGGAAAATGTTTTCTTGAAAAATAAGTGGTTCTTACTTATTTTCTGGTGTTTGACTAGGTAGAATATTAGGTAGCAGAAAATATTTTTTGAAAAATATATAATTTAGGCAAACAGCACGGGAGACGAAATGGGTAAGGGCGAGGGAGGGTGGTAGGTCAAGGTCTAGGGGCCGGGGTGGTAGTGGCGGGGG